CCACATGAACTGAGCAGCTTTGCTCCTCCGCGTCCTTCCACCTTGATGTTCCCGCCTTGGAGCCAGCCGACCATGGACTGAAGCCCCCGAAACCGTGAGCCGAGTCGAATCTCTCCTCTTTGAAGTCGCAAGTATCAGGTAATTTGTCCTGCTGTGGGAAAGCTGATCCAATATTCCCCAGGTGTCACTGGCCTCACGCACTGAAAAGGTCCCCTGAGAGCTGTAGGTCAGAGATTCCAACACTGCCCATGTGGATCGGTGCCAACTCAGTGACCAATAGGCCCCTGGGCATGGTGACTGAGGAGGACAGGAAATAGTGCTACCTTTGCCTAATATATCTTTTCTCCTTCTCCTGTAGGGACAGAAGAATCCTGCCTTTTCGGTGGGTAAGAGTGTGCCTAGTACCAAATTATATATACAGTCAGCTCTCCATATCCGTGGGATCCGTACCCATATATTCAACAATTGAGCATCAAAAATATTTGTTTTAAATTGTGTCTGTACTGACACGTAATTTTTTTCTCGTCATTATTTCCTAAGTACTACAAGAATAACAATTTTTTTTTTTTTTTTTTGAGACAGGGACTCACTATGTAATCCAGGCTGGCCTTGAACTCATGGTCATCCTCCTGCCTCTGCCTTCCGAGTGCTAGGATTACTGGGGTGTACCACCACACCCCAGCTGGTAACAACTCTTTAAATGACACTTTAATAGTATAGATATTGTAAATAATAGAGAAGATTTAAAGGCTATGAGTGGATGTCCATGCCATTTTATATAAGGGACTTTAGGGTGGGGGATTTAGCTCAGTGGTTCTGGCACCTGCCTTGCAAGCACAAGGACCTGAGTTCGATCCCCAGTACCTCCCCCCCAAAAAAAGAGTCTTTATATAGGGGACTTGAACATCCATGAATTTATGGGTACCTAGAACCAATCCTAACAGATACCAAGGGTCAACTGTATGTATACCCCCCAATCGTCTTTACACATAGGTATGGCCACATAACACAGTCCTAGCCAATAAAGTATATATGGGAGCTCTGAGACGAACTTCTAAGATCTTTTTAAAAAGAAAGATTTGGCAAGCTGAAGCCCTTCACCTTTCCCTCCTTTAGACCTGAAATATATGTGTGATGGCTGGTGTTCTAGCAGCTATATTGGATTCATGAGGATGAACCTAGAATTGTGGAAACCAAGAAGCAATGGGGTGTCAGAGGACATTGCCCTTACCAGCAGTACCCACACTCCTCGTGAGAGAAAAATAAAAATAACTGCCTCTCTTATTTAAAACACTGCCTTTTAGAACCGCTGCTAACTCGGGATATGAAGAAGAGGAGGACTATGAAGGTTCTAGTTCACCCTGAAGTTCAGTTTTCCTGCAACATAACCAGTTCTTGGCCCAAAGTTTAGACAGATTTACAATCTGCAGAAGTCAGAAGGGCCTTTTCCTTGGTGAAGTTCAGGACATTGCTGTTGGCAGAAAGGACAGGCTGTGTGGCAGTGGCTGCTGTGAGAAGAGAGGGGCAGGAGCCTCCCAGGCTTCCTCCAAGAGTCCAGGGAGAACAGCGCCCCCTCCTGCCCCACTGGGGGAGAGGACCCAGCAGTCACCGGAAGTCCTGGCGCCTTCCTCCAACTGCTGGGCCTGAGCCAGGCGGTCAGCTGGCGTGGTGCGTGTGTCTCACGCAACAGGCAGAGGACTCAGATTATCATTAGGGGGAGTGATGCAGAAGCCGGTCCGATGCTGCCATCCAGCTCTAGATTCTCCTCCCCCCTGGGCCTGGCACAGGGAGGGAGATGGCTGTGGAGGATGAAAAAACAGCATCTCTAACTCAGAGCATCCTGGCGATGGCACGCGCCGCGGATCCAGGAATGAACTTCTGTTTGTGTGCAGGGTGCGAGCTGGTGTGTGTGACTGGGAGCTCTTCCCCAGTGCGATGGGGGAAACTGCTGCCACCAGACTTGAGAGAAGACAGGGCAAGAGCATTGCCATCTACGGCCAAAATGACAGGAAGAGCGGGGCGGGTGCTGTTATTAAAGTTAGTGTCCTTCTCACAAAACCCCGAGGCCAGACACAGCCTTGCAACCTACTACGGTCATTACGCAGTCAGCCAGAGTCACCCCGCTCCACCCAAATGAGACCCAGAGGGCCTTCTGTACCCCCAGAAGGGCCGTGGTACACCCAGCAAGCTGCAGTATGCCCAGCACGCCTGCCTCATGCCCAGCAATCTTCATGACGTCCAGCTGGCCTGTGTCACACCTAGGGAGGGTCAGAGGCTATACAGAGCAAGACGGGTTCAATGCCAACTTCCTGTGTGGCTGCACTTGTAAAATGGCATAATATAATCCCTACCTCATGGTGTGTGGTGGGGGAAACAACACATGCAAAGCAACTTCCCCAGCACCTGATTATTAGAGGGCTTGGTGATCCACAGCATCCTCCTCCTCATTACCCAGAGGCAGTATCGTCACCATCATCACCGTCACCAGCATCATCACTATTGCTGTTACACACAAATCTCCAGAGAAGTCAACCAGTGCCAAAGACGTCCCTGACGCTGAAGTTCAGCATTCCCAGACCTCACCATCTGCAGGCTCGGTGCCATTTCTAACCTAAATTCTTGCCGTTCACAGCATAAACCTGTGCTTTTCTGATTGGGAGATCACCAGTGGTTGACCCTGATCTATTAGTAATCTCTTTGACTGACAATGATGATTTACATTTACACAATGCTTCACAGCTTACGGAGTTCAAGCCCTGGGCCACCAGAGGCTGTTTGAAATCACTCCATGTTGCTGGCCTTTGAGGACAGGCACAGCAAGATTTTCCTGAAAGGCTAAAACCAGCAAGTCCCTAGGCGGGGAGCCAGGGCATGATCTGCCTACTCATGTTTACAATGAATTAATTATGTTTTTAAAAAACCCACAAACTTTGTCCCATGTGTTGGTCTGTTACGGAGAGAACGCTTGTGTCTCCCCCAGTCCAATGTTGAAATTCTGACCCCCAGTGTGAATGATGGGCGCCCCTGCACAAAGCCCTTTCCAGACTTCCACTTTGCCTTCTGCCCTGGCCCTGGGCCACCTCAAAGTGGCAGAGAAGTTTCCAGGAAGCCAGGGTGGGAAAAGGAAGCTGAACACTGTGACGCTTGCTGCCTGAGTAGCAGCAGGACAGCTGGTCATGGAGCTGTCCCCACACAGGAGCTTTGGGGGCAGCTTCCCTTCTGGGAACCCCACGGGCACCTGCAATGTCCTCGTCCTCATTCTCGGGGCACTGTCTCTTGGGGCTCTACTGGGGATTCTAGCTCCTCCCCAAACCCCTTCCTCTCCTCAGGCTCACTGTGCAGAAGGCACGACAGCGTCTGTTTGTCTGTCTGTCTGTCTTGAGGTGTGTGCAGTAACAAGGTGTGGACAGTGAACGAGGTGGAGGGGCACATTTCGAGCACAGCACCTGGGTGGTGGGAGAGCAGGGTGAAAAGGTGCGAGCAGGCGGGGCAGAGCGTTTGCACCTGGGACACCAGGGTAGCAAGAGGGGCTGCGTGCAGGTGGAGGGAGAGGAAGCTGATGCGTTTGGAGGTGGCAGGCTGGGGAGAAGGGGGCTGTGGGGAGAGCCCAGGTCAGGGGCAACAGGTGGCTAGACCATGCAGGGCCTCCCAGGAGAGCTTCTGGCAGGGTCTGAGCAGGGGATCCTAGTTTAGGGGCTGCTCCGGCTGCAGTGTGGTGGGGCCAAGTGTGAGCAGGACCAGGAAGGAGCCGCCTTGACCAAGCAAGGAGCGATGGAGGGAGGCAACAGGACACAGAGGAGTTGCCACCTTCCAGAGTAATCCTGCGGGGAGCCAGCAGGCTTTGCTGATGAATCGGGTGTGGCCAAAGGAGGAAGAGAAGGATCAGTAGACTACACAGCTTTAGCTGCGAGCAATTGCAGAGGTCGCCCTGGACTGAAAGGGGAAAGAATGCCGGCCACATAGTGGCTCTCTGAAGGCTTGTGGAGAAGAGGAGCCGGCAGGTGGCACCGAGCCACGGTCAGGGGACGTGGCAGCTGGGCTGTGAATGAGGGAGCCTCGGGAGTCAACACAGCAGGAAGCCATGAGACTGGAGAACCGGTACTACGCTCTGGGTGAGCAGATGGACAGGCCAGGTAGCAAGTTCACAGATCTCCGGGTGAACCCAGCTTGGCCACCACCGTCCCCAAGGCAGTCCCTTCCCTCCCCGACAGCGCATGTGGACAAGCACTCCGTCCTCAGAGTCCAGAGTGGATCTGGAGACTCATAAGGCTGCTGGGGCCCAGCCTCGCTCCACCCCAAAATGTGGCTGCCCCACAAGGCTGAGAAACAGGACACACAAAGCTGGGTCCCGTGCCTGGCCCAGGGCAGGCACCATGGAAACGGGGTCCACTAAAGTCAGGGCTCTTCGTGGAAACAGATCTCACCTTCTACATTGGCCCACACTGCTCTACAGTAGCTGAAAAAAATGCTTTCCTTAAAAATAGCCAATGCTGATTAGCTAGAGGGACAGTAATCCGAATTTTAAGCAATCACTGAAATTAATTCCTGAGAAGTCTGAGCAGAGCCCTTCAAACTTAGCTCTCCCTGGCAGGAGCTCAGCAGTTCCTGTAAGTGAATGCAAATTAGCACTCTGCCTTCCCATATTTCACCGCCAGATTTTTTCTTTTTTTCTTCACTTTCTAGAGGAACAAACCCCAGCTCTGTGACTGCAGCATGGTGGGGACTCTTTCCCGAGGATCTCTGAGCTGCCGACCTCAATCTGCCCCCCGACCCACGTGCCAGGTACACAACACACAGCCAAAGAGCGGGGTGGGTCCTTTCCAAAGTTTAAGTATCCAGGACTGGCCACATTCTTTTGCTGGATAAATTTGCTAAAAGACAGCTTTTGGCCAAAAGAATCCTTTTCATTTGTTGAAAGATGCCTAGATCTGCACTGTCCTCAGATGAACCGGGACAGGAAACTTGATTTCTCCTCTGCAAGTAGAAGACATCGGCCCTACCTTCTTGAAGTCACGCATGCTGATCTTCCCGTGAAGGTCCTTGCTGACATCAAGGAAACAATTTCTGAATGCTGGGTCTTGCCGCTTTACACAACTTTTGAGTTTTTCAATGACTTCCTCTTTAGACATGTTCTTGGTTGTGGCAGTCCTGTCGCTGGTGGGCTTGGTTCTGAAATCACAAGCGAACACTTAGATCTGGACCTTACCCTTCGCTGAATGTGACTCACGAGGTTCCCCAGCCCTGCTTCACACTGGGGACTTCCTGCACTCCAGGGCTCCTGTTCTCTGGGACATGGGGCAGATGGGAGGGGCCTGAAGGGGGCACTGTCATCACCACTGCGCTAAGGCTCCCAGTGTGCCTGGAGCTGGGGGGAAGTGGCTGAGGCTGGGCACAACGGTTTGTGAACTGGGGAAATTTAAAGTTAAGGCCCATGATAAAGCTTCAGATTAAAGAAAGAGGCCACTTGGTGGCGATTCAATGGAGGAAATCATCATACACCCACGAAGGGAAGGGAAGCCACAATTATTCTGAGTTGATCTATGAACACAACTTGATTTATAAAACATAAATTTCATGTGACAGGAGGTGTGTGTGTGTGTAATAATTATTTCTTCTGCTCTCTGCAGGTTACAGGTCCCATTTGGGGGGAATAAAAGAGACATCCAACCGTGGTAGGGAAAGGGTTTCCATTCTTCCCTCTTCCTCTCCTGACTTTTAGGACCTCTCCACGAAACTCTACAACATTTTATGAAATGCTTAATTGCCATTACTTCTTTCACCGGCTTTATGAAGCAGATGTATCTTATCACAGAATATTTAACCTTTCTCTTGAAATACCATCTTTCTGCTCATTTATAAAAGCAGCCACTATTGGGAAGCCAGATATTCAAATTTCATTAGTATAGAATTAAAATATTCCCATTGCTCTATACTTAAGAACTTTGAAAAAAAATGTAACCAAATGAAGTCTGCAGGGTTTTACCTTTCCCGTAGATTTATGATAACCCATGAACAAGCAAGTTAACATAGATGACATCTGTATTTTTCAAAAGGAAGAAGATCTAGAATAGTCATGGGTCCAGTTTTTTTATAGATTCACTAAGTGTGCTTTATTGTTATGATTCAACTTGCCAATTATTTTAATAATTCTACCATTCTTATTAGAAAATGATAGCTGGCTTACTGGTGTGTTTTGCAATAAATATTACATGACAATAAGGAATCAAGGCTTCCAGAAAAGAAGAGATGTGGATGCAAGGTACAGAAGACCAGAGTGGCAGACAGCTCTGGAAGACAGGTCCTGGGTTCATGACCCAGTCCTGCCACTAAGTGTGTGAAGGACCCACGGGACGTTTCCACTGCTGAAACACCAGTGCTTTCATTTCTGAAGATTCACGTACAGATTCGGTCATTCCTAAATCGCGGCTGGCTCTAAAATCGCTCCCCGTACTAGAGCATGCCATCTTTCTTATTCAAATACTAAGCTATTCAAATACTCAGCCAACAAAGATTTGCCAAATGCCTAATCCCCACAAGGCACTGCGGTTTGAATGTATCTTTTCTTGGGTTTTCTTTTACCTCTCAGAGAGGACCGGCTGCTGCTCTTCTCCTTTTTGAAAACATTCATTTGGCTGATCCTTTGGAACCAGAAGCGGAGAGACCGTGGGGGGGCCATTAATTCTGATGCATGACAAAAATTTCTTGTAAAGGATTTTTTCTGAAGTTGTATCTTGAAACTTACAGCAGAGTCTGGATTTGAAAAATAGAGCACATTAGAATGTCTACAATCAAAAGGACCGACTCTGTCCCCCACGAATCACTGAAGATGTGGGTAACCGTGGTACTCATCCACTGCCTGTGGGAAAGTAAAATGGTACAACCACTTTGGAAAACAGTTTGAAAATTGACTATACAGCTACCAGAGGAACCAGCCATTCTGCTCCTAGGCACTTACCCAAGAGAAATAGAAGTGTATGTCTACACAGATAGTTATACGGTATATACAGCTTTATTTGTAACAGCCCCACCTGGAAACAAATCATCAAGCCATACGTCCGGCCTCAGAGCACGTGTATGAAAAGCCATGCGAGGAAGAACTGCTCAGCAGCGGAAAGGAATGAACTGCTGATCTATTCAACAACACGACTGAACTCAGGGTCACCGAGCTCAGTGAAAATCCCACTGTGACAGCCAATCAGTGTCGACTCCTGGGTGGGAAGAGAGAGCTGTGAGTTGTAGAGGGCCACGAAGGAGCTTTTCGTGGGTGGGGAAAATATGTGGCTTCTCGACGGATATCTTGTGGGGGTTTTGTGGATGTGGACAACATGCTGAATTTTATCTGATGATGTTATTTTTGAAATGTGCAGTTTATTATACAAGGTATACTTAAAGACATACATGTAAAAATGAATTTTCAAAATTAGGAATTTTGGTATGCAATCATGTAAGTACTTATATTGGAATTTTCACCTGTGTAAATCCTCATACATGTAGGAAACCACTAATATGGCAGGATTTCTTCCTTTTATCCCTTCCCTGCCTCCCTCCCTTCATCCTTCTTTGCTTTTCAGTGCTGTGGATTGAAACCACTGAGCTACCCACGAGCCCGAAGGCTGGATTCTCTTTCAACATTTTGTTCAATTACCAGCATTACCTATTAGTGTTGAAAAAATACATAGAAAAGGGGTTAGGATTACTAAAGATGAGAAGCATTAAATAAGTTACTTTTGTAATTAAAAAACCCTTACTTTATTAAATGTTCATTTGTTAAAAATGGGCAGAATATGCGCATGACTCTCTTGAAATTATTCCGAGCGACGAACCCCGAGTCTCCAAGGTCGTATGATTGCAGCATGTTATAAAAAGCTCGTAGATTCTTAGCGATTGCGCGGTGAACCGTTTCTTCCACCTACCGTAAGAAATACACGGTCACTGAGCTGTATAGCCATGTGCTGGCTGGACTCTCGGACGGTACAGGAAGGCGCCACAAAGAGAAGCCAAGCGCTACTTACTGAGTCCCAGGCCGGGAGGAGAGATGTCTTAGCGCCTGTACGGGGCGGCATTTGTCTCATCTAAGTGGAAAGAGAAAGGACACAAACATGAATCACTTGTGAAAAGTGGTGGGAGCTTTGGGGAGGCGGGACTTGAATGTGAATTCTAACCCTGATTCCTAAAAATAAAGTAACGAAACATACATTCTCGCACGTGAGCTCAGTAATTCCACTTCTAGATTTTAATACTAAGATGATAACCCTGAAGTGATACACGCAAGCAGATACTAAGAGGTTCACTGTGGCAAAATTTACAAAAAGGAAACACTGAGATTACAACAACAAAGAATACTCATTATCTTTTACAATTATATAGCATAATTTATATGAAATGTTAATATATTAAGAAGTGACATCAGAGAGACTATTTGTTATACGACCCCATTTTTAAATACAAATAGGTATAATAAATGAAAGTGCATATCTAAGCTCAAAGTATATACATGAAATATGCACAGTTTTTGAAATATCAATTACACCTCAATATTTTTTAAAAAAGAATGTGTGTGTGTATACACAAGTTTGGAAAGATGTGCAGTATAGTAAAACAGTGGATATCAATATTTTGATGTTAGAATTAGTAATTTTTATTTTCTATCTGCATACATGTGTATTCTAATTTTTCTCATTCATTCAACCAATGACCCAGCGGGCCCGGCCCTGTGGTGCAGTGGGCAGAGAAAACTGAAGGCCTCTGCTCACATGGAGAGAGGACCATGGCGGACTGGGAATGGGACTCATGGCATGACCCGTGCCGAGGCCTCCAGGAGTCTGGGACTGGATGACAGTGCCCAGTGCGCCGGGCACACTGAGCTGTGCACACTTGGGAAACCATGAAGCGTTACCTTGCCAAATCTCTATACCACCTGACAAGGTAGGTCTGTCATCAACTCTGTTTCGCAGACAAAGATCCGAGTCTTAGGGAGGTAAATGGTTTGTCCCAGACACAGCACAGTGGGGGAGGCTGTGATCTGAACACAGGCACTCAAGCTCTTGTCTGGCTGGCGGCTTCTACGCCCTGTGGCTCAATGTGATGTCACACAGAACGACCGGGGGTAAACTGAGTCAAGGCATACTTCCAGGCTTACGTATTGTTATGATTGCTGTCCAAAATGTTCCTTAAAAACTTGTTGTGTTAAAGATGGCTACTGGTGGGCTATGGGGTGGTGACGAATCGGGAGGGCTCTTCCTTCATCAATGGATGGATCCACATTTGGTAGCATTATTGGGAAGTGCAGAAACAGAAGGGAACCTAACTGAAGGGAGTGAGTCAGGGGATGACCTTGGGGGCTACATCCATCCCTCAGTCCTCTCGTCTGCCACGAGGGGAACCACTCCCTACCGTGATGCTTCACCTTACCATGGGCTCAGAAGCAACACAGACAGGTGACCATGGACTGAAACCTAAGCCCAAAGAAATCTTTCCTCCTTTCTTACTCTCAGGTGTTTTGTCACAATGACAGAAAGCTGACACACTTAAGTTCCATACAACACCTAGTGCCCAGAGCTCAGCCTGACCTACCTGTGCAGGACAAGCTTAGCCACAACCACCTCACCTTTGGGTCTTGCCAGCCTTTTCCATCCATTTTCCTAAGAAAGAGGTCATGAGACTTTTTATGTTTAAAAATAATTGTAAGTAGCATTACCCCAGTACTGAGGATTCAAAAGAAAGAGAAAATTATAGGCTGATTTCCTTAATGAACCTGAAAAAAATCCTTAACAGGGTATTTACAAACAGAACACAACAAATCATTCCAAAGATCATGTATCGTGTCCAAGTTGGCTTCATCACATGTAAATCAATAAATGTGGTACACCATATAAACAGAAGGATAAAAATCACACGATCATCTCAATAGATGCTGGAAAAGCCTTTGCAAAATCCAATATACATTCATGATAAAAAAAAAAAAACTGACAAAATGTAGGCAGAGAAGGACCTTACCTTAAACTGATAAAAGCCATTACTGACAAATACACGGCCAACATCATACTAAATGGGAAAAGATTGACAACATTCCTTCTGTTATAAGGAACAAGACAAGGGTTTACGCTCTCATTATGTCTGTGCAGTATAGTACTCAAAATCTCAGCCAGAGTAATCAGGCAAGAGAAAAAGATGAGAGAGATTCAAATAGGAAAGGAAAATGCCAAACTATCCTAATTTGCAGATGATAAGATCTTTTACATCAAAGATACAAAAGATTCCACCAGAAGACTCTCAGAACTAAACAAATTCAGCAAAGTAACAGGATACAAAATCAACACAAAGGGGCCAATAATGAATGCTGGAGAAAAGACAGCCCCTTTATCAATGATACTGGGAAAACTGGTTATCTGTGTGCAGAAGAGTAAAACTTGATCTGTCACCTTGTACTAAAATCAAATACAAATGGATCAAAGACCTAGATATAAAGACAGAAACACTGAATCTGCTTGAAGAAAAAAATTAGTAAAATTTTTGAGGACATAGACATAGGCAAGGACTTCCTGAACAGAGCCTGGATTGCATAAGACATGATACCAAAAGTCAACAATGGAATTATATCCAATTAAAAAGCTTCAGCAGAGCAAAAGAAATAATGAACAGGGTGAAGAGACAACCTACATAATGGAAAAAAATTTTTACCAGCTACTCCTAAGGGATAATAACTAGAATATATAAAGAGCTCAACTCAACAAAATTAGACTTCATATAAGACATCCAGTCAGAAAATGGGCAATTGAAATGAATAAACACTTTTGAAAAGAAGTCCAAATGGCCAATAAATACATGAAAAAAAAGTGTTCAACATCTTTGGCCATTAGAGAAAAAGCAAATCAAAACAGCACTGAGGTTCCATCTTATTCCAGTAAGAATGGCTATTGTCAAGGACTCGACCAAAAAATGCTAGTGAGGTGGTGGGGGAAAAGGAACCCTTCTATATTGGGGGCGGGAATGCAAGCTAGTACAACCACTAGGAAATCCGTATGGCAGTTCCTCAAAAGACTAAGAAATTCTATTTGACCTAACTATTCCTCTTCTTCATATCTTCCCGGAAGAGTTAAAGTCATTGTATTACAGTAACAGGAGCATATTCACAATAGCTAAATTATAGAAACAGCCTATAGACAGACTAATGAAGAAAATGCCAGGTTACATTTACACAACAAAGTACCCTCAACCATAAAGAAGGGTACATTTGAATCGCTGATAGGAAAATGGGTGCGCCTTGAGACCATAGCAGTAAGTGAAACAACTCAGTCACAGATTAAATATCGCATGGCTTCTCTAACACAAGGAGCCCAAAATCTAAATAATTTAAAGACCAATACAAAAGAGAGATAGCAGGAAACAAGAGACAGACTTGGTGGAGCTGGAAAGACATGGGGAAGGAGGGATAGGAGAGGGAGGGGAAAGTGGAGTAGGAATGAGTAAGATTCAATCTGTTTGTGTACCAGCTCGCCAGGGTGAATGCAAGCATTATGTACCACAAACATAACTAGTAATAAACAGTATCAGGAAGTCAGCCATGGTTTAATGAACATGCGCACACACAGAGCAAAAGAAAATCTGTGGGGTTTGGGGCTTTCATCATTATGTTCACCTCTGTAGATTTGGATATTTTCTAAGTATCTTACCATGGCGGTCTATAATCCCCAAAACATTTTTAACCCTTTAAAATTGTTTAAAAATGGAAATGTGAATAGCTATTATTGTAAGACATATTTCTAATAACAAAACTGTCACCTTTTTACTCAAAAGAAACAAATAATAAAATCATGCTCTGGTCACTAGAGGCAATCAGCCGTTATTTTTTATTACTATATAGTTTTGATACATTTCCATTAATAAGCAGTCACATTTTAAAGAAGGGGAATCAACATAGGATGTAAAATGTTTTCAGACACTCCTTTCCAAGACAGCAGTGTCACAAAGGACTGTCACCTAGGGACTGGTTTTCAGAGATGTCAAATATAATTGTTCGATAAGATTCAGAATTAAAAAGGTCAAAATTAAGTAACTCAATCACTCACCTCTTACTTAAAATGAAAATTAGTTCAGTTGAAAACATGAAGTCTTTAGGTTAACCTAAAGCATATTCCACGTGCCTCTTTTATTTCGCTAAGAATATTTACGTTTCCTGCCATAAAGAAAACACCAGATGTGGCAGAACTTACCTTAGGGCTCGCTTCAAGCAGGTCAATAAAGGAGCTGACTTTGACTGCTCCGGTGCCCCCGGGGTCTAGTGTGCTCATGAGCTCTTTGAATTCTGAATCTTTTAATTTCATAACTGTGGAACTTAGAATCTGTCTCAATTCCTCCCCTGTTATCTGTCTGTCAGGTTCCTGAGTATGAGAGGGTATATGAGGGAATTTTGCAAAAGGAAGAAAACGCATTATATAT